GATTAATCTCCAAAATTTACAAGCAGCTCATGCAGCTCAATATCAAAAAAACAAACAACCCAATCCAAAAATGGGCAGAAGACCTAAATAGACATTTCTCCAAAGAAGATATACAGACTACCAACAAACACATGAAAGAATGCTCAACATCATTAATCATTAGAGAAATGCAAATCAAAACTACAATGAGATATCATCTCACACCAGTCAGAATGGCCATCATCAAAAAATCTAGAAACAATAAATGCTGGAGAGGGTGTGGAGAAAAGGCAACCTTCCTGCACTGTTGGTGGGAAAGTAAACTGATACAGCCACTATGGAGAATAGTATGGAGGTTCCTTAAAAAACTAAAAATAGAACTACCATATGACCCAGCAATCCCACTACTGGGCATATACCCTGAGAAAAACATAATTCAAAGAGAGTCATGTACCAAAATGTTCATTGCAGGTCTATTTACAATAGCCAGGACATGGAAGCAATCTAAGTGTTCATCGACAGATGAATGGATAAAGAAGATGTGGCACATATATACAATGGAATGTTACTCAGTCATAAAAGGAAACGAAATTGAGTTATTTGTAGTGAGGTGGATGGATCTAGAGTCTGTCCTACAGAGTGAAGTAAGTCAAAAAGAAAACAACAAATACCATAGGCTAACACATATATATGGAATCTAAAAAAAAAAAAAAGGTCATGAAGAACCTAGGGGCAAGACGAGAATAAAGACACAGACCTACTAGAGAATGGAGTTAAGGATACGGGGAGGGGGAAAGGTAAGCTGGGACAAAGTGAGAGAGTGGCATGGACATATATACACTATCAAACGTAAAATAGATAGCTAGTGGGAAGCAGCCGCATAGCACAGGGAGATCAGCTCTGTGCTTTGTGACCACCTAGAGCGGTGGGATAGGAAGGGAGATGCAAGAGGGAAGAGATATGCGGACATATGTATATGTATAACTGATTCACTTTGTTATAAAGCAGAAATTAACACACCATTGTAAAGCAATTATACTCCAATAAAGATGTTTTTTAAAATAAATAAATAAATAAAATAAGCATTAAAAAAAAAAAAAAAGAATCCGCCTGCCAATGCAGGGGTCACAGGTTCGATACCTGGTCTGGAAAGATCCCATATGGTGTGGAGCAACTGGTCCCGTGTGCCACAACTACTGAGCCCGTGTGCTGCAGCTACTGAAGCCCACGCACCTAGAGCCCATGCTCTGCAACAAGCAACTGCAATGAGAAGCTCGCACACCGCAACAAAGAGTAGCCCCTGCTCGCCACAACTAGAGAAAGCCTGTGCGCAGCAACCAAGACCCAACGCAGTCAAAAAAAAAACCAACATTAGGTGTCTCTTCCAAATAGGTGGATGGCTAGATAGATATTTTTCAACGGGATTAATCAGATTTTACCTTTTTTTTCCCTCAGTTAACAGTGGGTGATAAATTTTCTCTCATTAAATATTCCCTTGCATCAGTGGTTCTAAAAGTATTGTCTGGGAACCCTTGGAGATCCCCAAGGCTTTTTCAGGGAGTCCGTTGGGTGAAAACTATTTTCATAATAATACAAGACATTACTTGCCTTTTCACTCATTCTCTCAGGACTGTACAGTGGAGTTTTCCAGAGGCTGTATGATGTGTGATATTGCAACAGGCTGAATGTAGAAGCAGATATGCAAATCCAGCCATCTTTTATTAAGCCAGACTAATTTAAAGAGATTTGCAAATATCATTCTTCTCATTAATTTTTTTTGGAAAATATAATTATTTTTCATAAAAATATTTTTTTTGGGAGTATGTAAAATGGGTTTATTATTAGGTGAATTAACAAATGCATATTTTTGAAATTCCTTTTTTTTTTTTTTTTTTTTTCGGCTTGTTGGATTTTTTTTCCCCAACCAGGGATTGAATACGGGCCCTGTGAAGTGAAAGTGCAGAATCCTAACCACTGGACTGCCAGGGAATTCCCTGAAATTCCTTCATTTTTATTTTGAATATGCTAAATGTTAATAGATATAGCCATATAAGCAAAAGCTCTTTGGGGTTCTCAAAAATGTTTAAGAGCATAAAGTGATTCTGAGGCTGAACACTTGAGAACAACTACTCTGCACCATCACCTTTGCTGACTGCATAGCACCCCTTTCTGTGGATGGCCCCTAATTTGTTCACCCATTTCCTTATTGAAATGGGTTGCTTCCAATTTTCACTACTATAAAAGCGCCGCACAAATCATCAAGTACCTACGTAAAGTGAAAACTTCCTGGAATGAGAGAAAACAACAGATACCAACTGGAAGGGTGAGCCAGCACTATTAGTCCATTACTAATCAAATTAAACAAAATGTATCACAGGATGTGAACAAATAAAGTTGAAAGGCTATGTGCACGTTGAATATATATATATATATGTGTACAGATACATATGTTTGCATAGAGAGCAAGACTTACGCTCTGTAAAGAGTCCTTTTTTTTCTGCTGTCTATGAAGTGGTTACAAAAGCTGATCAGGGCTTCCCTGGTGGCGCAGTGGTCGAGAGTCCGCCTGCCGATGCAGGCGACACAGGTTCGTGCCCCGGTCCGGGAAGATCCCACATGCCGCGGAGCGGCTGGGCCCGTGAGCCATGACCACTGAGCCTGCACGTCCAGAGCCTGTGCTCCGCAACGGGAGAGGCCACAACAGTGAGAGGCCCGAAAACCAAAAAAAAAAAAAAAAAAAAAAGCTGATCATATTCTAGAGCAGTGTTATGGATGGTATGAAGCTCTTTGGTACCATTACAGAAACTGAGAGGAGTTTAGAAATTTTAAGCAATTGGAGAGAGAAATTTTATTTCTGTAGGTAGGAAACAATAAAAAATGATGTTTGTAAAAAAGTTGAGTACAAAAATGCTGCAGACTTTCAAAAATATATACTTGAGAGTATTTCTGTAGGACAGATTCCTAGAAGTGGAATTGCTGGGTCAATGGACACGCATCTTTAAATGTTAATAGATATTGACAAGTTACCTTCATTTACACCTCACCAAGAGTAAGATGTAAATATACCAAATGTCCTGAGAGTGTATGTGAGTGCCTGCCCTCTGACATCTTTGGCAAAACCAAAGATTATGATTCTTTTAAATCTTTTTCTACTTAGTAGGCTAAAAGTTACATTTTGTCTTCTATGAATTGCTTATTCATATCCCTTGCCCATTTTCTATTGGGTCCTTTTTCTTATTGATTTTTCTTTAACTCTTTATATATTCTGGACAAGCATCTTTTGTCTGTCATATATTGCAAATATTGGCTTGCCTCAATTACGTGGCTTGCCTTTCAATTTTGCTTACATGTCTCACTAGAGTACAAAAACTGCCTTTAAAACTTTTATTCTAAATTTATTCTAATCTATTAATCATTTCCTTTATGGTTTTATGGATTCTCATCTGGCTTAGGAAGCCTTTTCTTGTTGCATGATTTTAAAAATACTCTCCATTTCCCTCTAATACACTTGCAGCTTTTCTTTTTATTTCTTAATATTTAGATCTTCAATCCATCTGGAATTAATTTTTGTTATGGTATGAGGCATTGACTGTTGACCTTTGTAATCCATGTAGTGGAGTATGGCAGGGTGCCGGCAATGGGCTTGAGCCCCAGTAAGAACCAGCCTATGCATTGCTGGAGAGCTGTAGGCCTGCCTGCTGCAGCTGGAGCTAAGCTGGTTCCCAAGTGGACAGATATCTGAGCCCACCTGGTTCAGGAGGGGAGGCAAGCTACATTTCAGAATCCTTCCCAATGAGATAGAGCTGTTGCGGGCATCTGCAAAGTTGACAAGCAGAGCTGATGACACTCCAAGAAAGCACCAAAACATCTTTACCATGTAGTCTGGTTCTCAGAGAGCTTTCTGTCCATTACCCTCCTTGATGCCAACATCGCTATGTAGGTGGAAGGGGATTTAAGATGCCCACTTTACCATTACAGAAAATAAGGTGCAGAGGGGTTAAGTGACACGCCCAAGGTCACGCTCCCGGTGAGTGGCAGAGCCCAAATAGAACCTAGACTTCCTGCTTCCAAGTCCACAGCTCCTCCGACCTCTCTGTGCATCAGGCTCTGAGTCCCTGTCACCGCAGCTGCCCCCTTTAGTGGAAGGGAGGGTCTGGCCTAAGGCTTTCCCAAAACTGTGCTCCCCCACTGTGGGCAGGTGAGACTGGAAAAATCCATCCTCCACCACCAGCTGACGGAGGGTTTCGAGGCTTCCTTGGGCATGTACCTCCTCCTCTCCCCAAGTTTGGTGGAGGGTGGGAGTGATGAGTCAGGTCGGGGAGGGAGAGCTCAGCCATAAACAAGCGGGACTGACAGCGAGCACTTTCCTTGAGGCACGTGACCTCCCACGGGCCTCCGGGGACTCTGCCTGAATGGCAAAGCTTCAAAATTTCATGATCTAGGCTCCGCACATTTAATTTGCTATATTCTCGAAGGCAGCCACAGAAGGGAAGAAGCTTTTAGAGAGGAGGTGGGGGATGAGGGAGAAGGTAAATTATTTCTAGTCCCTCAATGAAGAGTTTGAAATGTTATTTTTAATGAGTGTGTCATTTTTGCAGACACCCAATGTGACTATGCTGGGTCTTCATCCCCTCCAGCTCCAAACCAAAGGGACACCCAGGACGCAGAATTGTAGAGCTGGGTCTGGCCTTGGAGATCAGACGATCCAATCCCTTGGGGTTAATGGGAACCCCATGTACCCCAAAGCAAGTGACTTGTCCAAGTTGGGGAAGTTCTGGGAACAGATCTCAGGTCTCCTCGATGTACTTGTTCTCTCCTTGGATATTCCTCAGGTCCCCCACCTACACTTGCTCTGGTGACCCTTGGGGAAAGCCTTGGGGAAGGCACAGCTACTGGACACACGATGAGAAAGTAAAAGGTGGGGTCAGAGAGAAACAGGGGCAACAGGCCCAACAGTGACCAAGCAGGGCTTCTCTCCACCCTGGGGCTGCAATCAGGCCTACGGAGGTACGGGTGCCTACCTGTTCCAGGGGGATGACGAGGAAGGAGCCACCTCCCGCGCTCTCAGTGACAATGGCCAGGAAGCGGGCGTTGACGGCGCAAAAATGGTTATCGTGCACATTCTTGGTGATAGGGATCCCGTCGAAGCAGTGCTCCCGGTTGGCCACCTTCCCGTAGACGTTCCGGAACTTGGAGCTGCGGTATTGCGGACGCCAGGACATCTGTGAGGGGCCAGAAGAGACAAGGGTCAGGCTGGGGACTGCTTCCCGAAGGGCTGAGCTGGGCACGTGCGGGAGGTCTCAGGGATGCAGGAGGTGAGGAAGGCCCAGCACCTGCCCTCAGGATGCGGGGAGAGGGGAAGGAACCTCCAAGAATCGGGTGCCTGGCCCTGTGCTGGAGGACTTACTCTTTCAATAAAGTCCCACAAGAGCAAAGGCTGGCATGAGGGCATCCACACACTTCCTGCTTTCAGTATACACGTCCACACCACCTTCCAGAAAGGATGGAGGATCCTTTCACTCTCAAGGGACGTGCCACGTGATAGAGCAGACCATCCATCCAATAACATGTCTGGGCTGCTTCTTGCGTGTCAGAAACTGTGCTTAATTTAGTATGGGACGTGCAGACAGAGGAGGCTGGGTGTTCACAAAGAGAGAGAACAATTCTAATGATGAGGGGCAGAGGAGGAAGACAGCCCCTTCACGTGCAGCAAGGCAAATGACCACCCATTATCATACGCTCCTCTGATTCTCTCTAGGTCTTCTAACCCACAAGCGCACCCTCAGAAATCTCTTAGCCCTATACATCATCACCATCATCATCCTCACCAGGCCCAGAGAGGTAAAGCGATTTGTCCAAGGCCACACAGCTAATGAGTAGGGTCATGAACACAGGTCTCCTGATTGGAAATCTGAGACTCTTTCTTATGCCAGATTACCCTTTGGAGCAAGGTTTCTCAGTGTGTGGCCCACAGATCACCTGTATCAAAATCATCCGGGATGGGGGAGGTTTCTCAGCCTCCTACATCATTTGTTAGAAATGTTGATTCCTGGCTCCCAATCCAGACCTACTAAATCCAATATTTTGGGAATGGGGCCCAGAAAGAGGCATTTTAATCCAGCTTCCCTGCCCCAGAGTGAGACAGAAATACGCCGAGGTTTGAGAGCCCCTGTTCTAGAGGGTACCCCTCTCTACCCCTCACCACCCACCAACCATGACACAGGGTCCAACCTACTGCATGAGTGTCCCATGCTGTGCACAGTGGAGAACACAGATACACAGATGTGCATGTGGGGGTGTGTGGAGGACAGAATGGGCAGCCCACCGTGGAGTTCAGTTTTGTTGTAGGATGGCACCTCCTATGGGGAAGCCCTACGAATGGGCGCCATGGCAGATGGAGCTCAAGTAGGTGCTCTCCTGGCAGACACGCATCCAAGCTCAATGAGCAATGGCAAGTTCCCAGCCCGGGCCTGGCATTCAGTAGGCGCTCAATAAGCACTTTATTAAATGAACATCCTTCTGGCCCGACTTTGCCATTATCCATCCTCTCCCCTTCCTGCCAAATCTCCTGATATGCCTTGAGTCTCCCACCCCATCTCAGGACAGAAATTTCTTCAGATGAAATTTCCAAGGGGCGGAAAACAAAAGGAAATACCACCACAGAATCAGGAAACCAACCCTGGGAATTTGACTGAAAACAAAACTTTGCATCTGATTTAAATAAAGCCAGGAGCTCAGCCACAAAGGCCTCTGTATTGAAGGAAGATGTTCAGATCCAATGAGGAGAATCCCAGGGGTTCTTCAGGCAAGCCCTCTTCCGGCCAGCTCTCTGGGCCTCCACCCACCTTCTCCAATCCCCCAGGCCACTCTCCACGCCGCAGGGCCAGCCGCCCTACTCTCCACTCCTCCCCACCTCCCAGCCTCTGCCCACTCTGTACCCCTTTTCCTCCTGCCTTCTCCCCTCTCTGCCGAGTTCTGCCCAAGACTGTTCAGAACAAAGTCCCGCTGGAGAGGCAAGTGCACTGGATGGGAGCCTGGTTGGTCATTTCTGGCTGTGTGACCTGAGACTATCCTCTTCTGACAGATTCCTCATCAGGATTATATCAGTGATGCCCCGAGTGTGGTCCCAGGTGGTCACTCATGGTTCCTTTACATGGTACAGAGATGAAGTTTTAAATTTTAGTAGTTACATATTTATTTTTAATTTGCATTAGAAAAAATATAACTTGCATGCCAAGTCCATGATTTCACAGGTATTAGTGCTAAGAAAGCTAAGTTTAAAAATAATGAATTAATTCAAAGAAAAATACAGCATGAAAAATATAGTCTCGGTGGTACATGGTCCCGGCAGAAGTTCTGTCTGATATGGGAGTATTGGAGATCACTCTGTCTCTTTCAGGTAGAATATTCTAGATTCCACAGTTCCCCCTGAAGACAAAGGAGGTGGTGAGCCTGCTCATTCCAACCTCTTTTTCCTTGTTGGTGCAGTTCTGGCCTGGAATGCCTTCGCTCTCTTCTCTGTCCAGCCCAACCTTAGCCTTCAGGGCCTGACTTGAATCTGACTGCCCTCTCAAAGGTCCAGCAGAGAGAACTCTGTGGGGATCAGCCCCAGCCTGCATCCTAGGAGAAACAGAGAGCGTCTCTCAGCAAGCCCGGCGCTGGCCTCTCCCCATTGGCTGGTAGGCTGAGGCTGACCTCTCCGCTGGACCTTTGGAAGGGCTGGGGGAAGGAGGCGAGGGGGCCCTTATCACTGGGCCTGCAGCTTCACCCCTCTTGAAGCCACAGTGAGCATGCCTGGCAGAGCGCTGGACCGGGAGTCTGCAGTCCTGGGTTTTCACTCCCCATTCTAACTCCTACTAGCCTTGGAAAGACACTTTGCCTCCCTGAGATATTCTAAAATGAGACCCATAATTCCTGACTTTATCTGGTTACTTTAAGAGTCAAAATGAGATATGTAGGTACAAGGTCTCATTCAAGATAAGATATCACTGCTGGGCTTCCCTGGTGGCGCAGTGGTTGAGAGTCCGCCTGCCGATGCGGAGGACACGGGTTCGTGCCCCGATCCGGGAGGATCCCACATGCCGCGGAGCGGCTAGGCCCGTGAGCCATGGCCGCTGAGCCTGCGCATCCGGAGCCTGTGCTCCGCAACGGGAGAGGCCACAACAGTGAGAGGCCCGTGTACCGCAAAAACAAACAAACAAACAAAAATGTATCACTGCTGCTCCCGTGGGCCCAGTCTACTGAGAGGTGTCTGGAAAGCATCAGACACGGACTCCACTTTCAAATATCTTACAAGCCAACGGAGGAGACGAAATGGATGCTTGACAAGTTTATGGTAGTGAGAGGTCAGGGAAGGGGGGGACAGGGTGGGCTTCATGGAGGAGGGGCCATCTGCCAGCACGGGACACTGACAGAGCACTGGGCACTGTGCACAACCCCTGCGAGGTGGGAACTATGACTGTCCTGTTGCACAGGGTGGGAAACAGACCCAGCCCAAGTTCAGACAGTGAGCACGCACAGGATTCACTGGAACCTGTTCTGACTCTGCAGACCATATTATGTTCTCTCCAACTTCTTATTATAAAATACTTCAAAATGCAAAAATAGTTGAGAGCATGGTACAATAATCACCCACCACCTGGGTTCATCATCATTAACATGTTGACACGTTCCTTTATGTACCTACTTCTTTCGGTTTTTTTAGTTTTGTGGAATTGTTTGAAAGGAAGTTGCCAACATGATGACTCCTGCCCCTTTATTATGTCAGCACACATTTCCTACAAAGGAGGACGATTTCCTACATGAGCACATCACTATTACCACCTCTAAGAAAATTAACAACAATTCTTCAATACTGTCTAATACCCAGCCAATATTCAAAATTCTTCAAAATGCCTTTTACAGCTATTCCATATTTTGAACCAGGATTGGGAGCAGTGTTGCTCCCATGTATTTCATTTGGTTGTGATCTCTCTTTTGACTCCTTTAAATCTAGAACACTCCCATCACTTTTTTTTTTTTGTTACACTGACTTCTTAAAGACATCAAATCAGTTGTCTTAGAAAATGTTCTAGGGGCTTCCCTGGTGGTGCAGTGGTTAAGAATCCGCCTGCCAATGCAGGGGACACGGGTTCGAGCCCTGGTCTGGGAAGATCCCACATGCCGCGGAGCAGCTAAGCCCATGTGCCACAACTCCTGAGCCTGTTCTCTAGAGCCCGCGAGCCACAACTACTGAGCCCGCGTGCCTAGAGCCCGCGCTCCGCAACAAGAGAAGCCACCGCAACGAGAAGCTCGTGCACCGCAACGAAGAGTAGCCCCCGCTCACTGCAACTAGAGAAAGCCCGCGTGCAGCAACGAAGACCCAACGCAGCCAAAAATAAAGTAAAAAAAGAAAATGTTCTAGCGATTTGTCTCATGTTGCTTTGTGGTCTCTTCAAAGTTATTCCTGGATTCCCTATAAACTTTAGGAGTCAGATGTAAAGCCTTGATTCAATTCACATTAAAGATGCCCCTGTTGTTAATCCCTGGCTTGGGCAGGGCGAGGATAGGGAAGAAGGGACAGAGGGAACTTGTGAACATGTACCTGGCCTGGCTGGCGGCAGTGAGAGGGCCAGCTGGCCAGTGCCGAGTGTTTGCTCTGGAGGGTGGTGGACAGACAGCTAGAGGACCTGGGAGGTCAGATCAGGCACCGGCACACACTGTGGGCCAAAGTGGAGCATCTGGAGGCCCCAGAGTTCTGACCTTTCCTCCTGTGCTTACCAAGGGGCTGACTTCATTCTGAGGTCAGATGCACGGGTGTGCAGGCAGGGAACAGAAAAGCCTCCTCCCTATTCTGCAGAGAGAGGAGGCCACGCTGAGGCTGGGACTGAAAGAGCCACCCAGACCTCACAGGGAAATCAGTGTGGCAGCCAAGAGGTCACCTGAAAATCTGGCCCTTTGCCCCTTGCCCTCAAGCTCAGCCCAGATCCTGGTGGATTCCTCCCTGCTAGTTCTAGTGAGGGTAGGACACTCTCTATGAACCTTACAGGAGCAATCAGCACAAGACTGAGACACATTTGAGCTCCCTAAAAGAAAGGACTTTCTTAATGGTTAGAGCTGCCTGAGATGGAAAAGGAAGTTATCATGATAGGTAATGAGCTTCCCATCCCTGGAAGGGTTCAAGATTGAGGTGGATGATCTCTGGGTTAAGGGCAGTGTGGAACAACAGATGAGACTAGATGGCCTTCCAGCCCCCAAATAATACAGTTCCTCTACTTTATTAAAAACATTGTGTTGCAAAGAGAGGCGTGCTGGGGTCAGAGAGCAAAAAACAGGACACCCTGGCCAGCGACATTTCTTCTCTGTAAAACAGGGATCGTAACGCCTCCCCGGCTGCGTTGCTGTGACAAGGAAGGACAACGGCTCTCATGGCAATTGCCATATCCCCCTAGG